GATGTGAAGGGTAAACAAAGGAGGAGGATGCAATGCTTGGTAAGAAATGTACGCATTATCCTGCCCATGTAATTGTAACTCCTCTGTACAGCATGTTCACAAATAAAATTAAAAAAAATATTCTGGCTCTAATGGAGATCAAAGTCTAAAAGTCTTCTCCTTTTTACATGGCTTAGCTCTAACCTGGAAAATAAACCTGAGAGCCAAGTGAGTCCCAGTACTCATACAAGAAATGGATGTTTTCACAGCACAGATCAACTTCCTCTCATCCTAGTTATTTTCCTTTGAACCATTCACCAAACAATGACTTACCTCTTCAGGTGTGTAGGTGCCAAAGCCCAGAACAGGGATCAAGTGACCATCACTTAGTGTCACATAGGAGTGTTTGGAGTTCATTGTGGGTCTGTCTTCTGGCTAAGCAGCTAAGCACAATGTGTTTCTTCTCTTGCAGGACAGTCAGTAAGTCATAGCCCTGCCTGCTAATGAATAACCAAAGGTACTAGTTATCTAATGGCACATTATCTGGAGAGGCAGTGAAGTTATGATACTGAATAGATAGGGAAAATGAGGTATGGTCAGTTAACAGCAAATACAGGAGATATTTCTTCACGTACTTAAGATTAAGGAAACAAAAGTCGTTTGGGGAGAAAAGAAGCAGGATAACTTATGGAAATTGAGGCCTGGTGTAGACAACTCAGAAATATTGTATCTAGAAATTTAGAAATGCCATCTTTGCTTCAAAGAGAGGCAACTGAATGCATTCTTTCCTAAGGGATACACTTCTCACCAAAGAATTCACAACTGCCTGACAGGATGCCCCAAAATGCAGATAGCAGGAACATCTCCTTGTTTCATAAGGATCTGTTTTATGGCAGAATGTATTCTTACCTGGAAACTCAGAGAATAGCACCAGGTGTTGTTAAAGCAAAGAAAAAGCACCTAGCTTTGTTTAACTTAAAGCCAGATCCCCTGCCTTTACCTATATATACCCAACAGCCTAAGTTGCTGTGTGTCTTCCTGGATGTCTCCTTATGCGTGTCTGTGTCTTTGTGTCCCTGAGAGCATCCAAAGTGTGCTAGAGTGTGCCCTTGCCCTTCTGTTTGTCTGCTTTTTATCTGTCTGTTTCCTTGCTTGTTTACTTAAGCTCTGCCAAGTTTTCTTGCCATTGTGACTTATCCAGAAATTCTTATTCTGCAATCAAAGTCCAGAAGTCAATGACTGAAGTCAGTGAAGAGTTCTTATATTTAAAGGGGAGATTCACTAAACTTCCCCTCTGTCTGGTGACAGTTAAAGTAATATTTTAACCAGATATGGTGGTTCATGCCCATAATCCCAACTTTTGGAAAGTAAGGCAGGAAGATTATGTGTTTGAATCCAGTCTTGTCTGCTCAGGGAATCTTACTCAAAAAAAAAAAATTAATAGTAGAAAAAAAACACCAGACACATGTGAAAAAGAAGTTGAAACCAATCAGTTATTTTGTTAAACAAAATTAATCTATGTTCAACTTTTGTGCCACTGTAATATAATTTTCAACAGCTTCTTTGAATACTAAGCATATTTATGTTCTTCAAGGATAATTGTGTTGTAAGAGAGTTCAGTCAGCAAGAAACAGAGAAGCCACATCTTGTGAGGTCGAATTGGGAGTCTTTATTGGAAAGCTGGTGTCTGAAGGTAGACTCCTGTCTCAAAAGACCTGCAGCCCAGTACAAAGCTTTTAAAGACAAAAACTACATGCTTGGGGTGGAGAACACACCCAACAAAAGCAGACCTTATGTGGGAATACTCAGGTACCTGCAGAACTGTCCATCTATGGAAGTAGCTCAGAGGTCAGCTCATACTTTCCATATAGGGAGGTACTTAGAGGCTACTCAGAAGCCAGTGAATCAAACGATTTAGGGAAGGAATCAAGGCAAAACTAGAGCATTCTATGTAACAAAGCACTCCTAAGGCTAAAATAGCATGACATCTGCAATTCAAGGAATGGCTTCTCTCACCTTTAGACTTTTCAGAGCTGGGTGGGAAATCCCCTTCACCCAGCAAGGCACCAGGATGTCTGCAAGGACAAGGAACATCGCTCCGGCTTCTCACTTGAACACGTAGTTGTACATGTTTCACTGGCATAGAGGGTATTAAATTTACCTCCTAAATCACTTAAAATAATACTTGCATGTTTAACCATGGGTATAAAAGAGTAAATATTTTTACCTTAAATAGATATTTAAATGAAGTCTGACTCAGTTACTAAGTCAAAAAGCCAACTGTAAATATTGAAAACACAAATATAGAAATCTTCATAATAAAGATTTTTAGAAAAGAAAGACACAACAGCCTCTACATTCACTCTATCACGGCAACATAAGAATTAATCTAAAGATGTTCTCCCAGAAATGATTGTTAGGTTTTTAAAGAAGAGGTGGCCAAGAAAGAACCACATGATGCACGTGTCATTTAGGTAAGGGGTAGGTTTATTCAGTAGACCAGTTGGCACTCCATGCGGCTGGCAAAGAGAACATCTGGCCCTGGGCTAAGCCTTCTCTAGGGTAGGGGTGGGGAAAGGTGTGGCCAGGTAAAGGCAGGTGAGACCTCGTAAGAAGAGATGGGACCAGGTGGGAGAAAGGTGTGGCCACATCAAATCCAGGTGTGAATTCAGCAGATGTGGGTGTGACCTCTTCCAAGTTTGCTAGTATGCAGGTACTGGGTGGGGTCTGCTCGCCTTCCAGGAGCAGACCTTACCATTTTGTTTGGTTTGGGGGCCTTTTCTTCCACTGTGCCATGGAAAGCCGGTTGATGTTTTAACTGGTTGATGGTTTATAATTGACTGAATTGAATCAAAAACAGTACATTTCGGGGCTGGGAAGGTGGCTCAGTGGTAGAGCGCTTGCCTTGCATGCCTGAGGCCCTGGGTTCGATTCCTCAGCACCACATAAGCAAAAAGAAAAAAAGCC